TTACATGATAATATAATTGTGATGTTAAAAAACGATATTGATCCCTGAAATCCTTGGTAATACCAATGTTCACTTTGCCTGGTTTTGTTGCAGCATGCCCCATATATAAATCTATCACAATCTGTTTTCGTCTTATGTCAACAGATTTTTGTTTATGAAAATTGTACTTTTAAACTAAAGAAAAAAAATAGATTAAAATCTCATTACATACAATATGTAAAAATATCAGATAATTAATTAATAAGATCAAAATCATATAACCTTTATTTATCTCACAATAATTTGCAGTTTACATTCTATTCTTTAATTTTCTTGATAATATGTTCTTTGGTGGAACTTTTATGGTTGAAACCTTTAAATAAATCAGATAATTTGTTAATTAAATATATTTTTTTAAAATACAAAATTTTGTTTAAGAATGATATTTAAATTAATGCACTCACTTGCAAAATAAACCTTTTAAGTTTTTACCTCAATTGCTTTTTTAAAAATCAATTCCTTTATTATGTTCCAAATAGTGGATTCATTATGGTTAGCATCAAATTTTTTCTTATATTTATCTAATGGGTCAATTTAAGTTTGTTATCACAAAATCGAATTCAACATCAAATTCTTATTAGCAATATTAATTGCTGACTCATCAATATCTAATGCAACATTACAACTAAAAATAATCTCTGTTTATATATTTATTTAATATATATTAATCCTCCAAAATCTGCACAAGTTTGCCTTTGATATCACCATAATTTGAATGAGCTGTAAATATTATGCGAGATGCTGTATATGGTGTTGTATTATATTGTTCTGATTTGATCTTTGGCATAATAAATAAATACACACATACATGTAGACACTCGTATATATATGTGATAAAATATAATTTACTAAACCCACCAACTTCTTAAAGTGTACTTTCTAAGTCTCATCACATAATTTTGCATACTAGATATAATCCAGAAAATTTTTAGTCACAAAAAATCAAGATTAACTATTAGTGTGAATTCAAAAAATATTTCTTGCAAATGGATTAAATCATCCAATTCAAAGATTTAGGCTCTTCTTTTAATGTTAATTTTATTTCACTTCAAACATTCAAATTATAAAAAAAGCTCATATTATAAAACAAAGAAATAAAAGAGATATGGGAAACAATGGATGGAGTAACAACCAAATATATAAATTAAAGGACTTTAAACTAGTATTATTTGATAAATGAAATTAACCAATTTTATAAAGTATAATTAAAAATTTCTAGGATATGATTTAAAGCAAAGAATTTGGAATATATATTAATATTAATAATCATGATATATATCCCACGATTTTTTTATATTCTAAATCTTCTTTTTCAGTTAAAGCATCAGGACCTGACCAATTAGCTGAACTTGTTCTTTGTCTAAATTTATATCCATTTTCTTTAAAAATTGCTAAATATTAAATAATGAAAAAAATATAAATTTAAGTTTGTACTAAATTTAAATTTCTTTACTGTAAAGTTTTAAAAATTCTTTACAAACCCATCATGTCAAGTGGTTGAACCTTGCCAAATATGATTTCAGGATCTAAGGCAGCTTGTTGTATCAAAGACGCTTCAAGTATAGAACTTTGACACCAATCTGGTATTTGATTTTGTGGTTTACTTGATTCACAGTAATCCTCCTCTTCACTTGAAGAACTTGATGCAAATTATATTTAGAAATTATTTTTTTTTTGAAAAAAAAATTTTATATACATACTCAGAATTTATCTCTGGTAATATACATTTTCCTTTGGTTGGATTTATTTGATTTTTTTTGTATTCATCAGATAATTTTTTTTCTTCAACTTGTTGAATATTTGTTTGATCTAGATCTTTAAGAGTTTTTTCTTGTTGTAAATCTAAAAAGGTTTTAAAGTCCTCAAATAAATTGTCTAGAATATAACAAGTTTTTTCTTCTTGAACCACTGGTCTTTGCATATTTTCTTCAACAATTAACTTTTTCTCTTCTACTGAAATGACTTTATTTACTTGTTGGGATGATGGACTTTCTTGATTTGAAAAAATGTTCTTTACATTATTATTTTGAATTGGTTTTTCTATGACTTTATTGATTTTCTTTTTTTTATTAGGATCATTATTATTAACCTAATAATAACATGATTTAAATGATATTAATAATATTAATAGTCAAATTATAAGCACATTAATAAATAATACCTTTTTAATAAATTCAATGAGTTTTCTTTTTCTGTTCTGTATCTCATCACAATTAAATTCACTCATGTCCAAAATACTTTCACTTCTACTAGAAACAGAAATCGATTGATTCATTTGTTGATCTATTAGTTTACTTTCTTGATTGACTTCTTTTTCTTGATTTTTTTCTAACTTGTCCTTTAAATTATCTTCTAAATTACATCTCAGTTGATCTTCTAACTTATCTTCCTCTGGTTGTTTTATTGAATTATTTATTAAATTGCCTGCTAATATATTTCCTAATGTATCTTCTAGTTGATCTCTTGATATATTTTCTAATATATTTTCTTGTGTATCTCCTCCTAATTTATCTTCTGATTTATCCAATTCACTTTCTAACTTATCTTGTAACTTATCTTCTAGTTGATTTTCTAATTTATCATCATAATTTTCATCTAATTTAATATCTACTTTTTTGTTTAATACCATCACATCATTGATAATTTGTCTGTGAGAATACGAAGAAACAATGTGTTCTAAAAATTCCTTCAACCATGTAATTTCTTTTTTAAATTCTATTGAAAATTTATAAACATGTTCATTATATAAATTTTCAAAGTTTTCACATTTTGTTGTGATCAAATTATCAGAATCATATAAAGGTGAAATCTTTGTAGACATATTTAACAAAAAAATTTTTTTTATAAATGTTCAAAATTACACTATCGATTTGGTATACACCACTTGATGATCATTTTAATAATCGGAAATGTTACGTATGCAGTTCAAAATTTTATTAATCAAACCGGGACTGGTGCATTAAGTAAACATGTTTTTAAAAGTTAATTTGCATA